ATTATATCTAAAATATCTAAAATATTTATTGTATTATATATATCGTAACTTATTTTAAAATTTCAATACAGATGAAGCGGAAACTATAGATTTAACTATGAATTCTACATCTGAAATTGAATCTGAAGCAACCTCTATTGAATTAATTCAACCAATTGCTAAAGAAGTTCTATCATCTAAAAAAACTAAAGAAATTGCACCACGTAAATATATTAATTTATTTATGTTCTGATATATATTTTTAAATAGTAATATTCTTAAATTATTGTAATAGAATATATTTCCTTAATTTGTTTTGACCGATTTAAACAACCACACAAAAAACTTGATAGTGCATTATCTATCCCTTTGTATCTTAATACTCTTACTAATTTTGGTTAAATCGAAGAGGAAATACTATCAAAAAAATATCCAACAGAATGGGAAAAAATTAAGATCGGTTTGATTTGTTACCAAACATCAATTACAATAAAAGTAGATCATTATAACTTAAACTTAGACAATGCAATTATGGCATTTATTACAGAATGTAAAAAAAAAAAATGTGCAATTATGTGTTTATTCTGATAAAACAATCAAAAAAAAAGAAATAATATATGGAAGTTCTGTAATTGATGTTGAAGAAGTTACAGGAGAACTTATTCAAAGAAAAGTTCAGGTATATTATTTATTTTATTAAATTATTATTTTTTTTATTTATACTATGATTAAATTAATAAATAAAAAATAATTTAAAATAATAAATTTAAAGGAAAATGAATCTTCAGCATTGAATACGGCAAAACAAGCTATTTATGATAATATTATACAATGTGAATATCATATTTAAGGGTGTTTAAAAGATGATAATGAACATCATTTAAAATTGGATGGTGAAATGATTACGCTTTGGGCATGTGCGATGGTAATTATAATATTTATCACGTGAAAATTAGGCTTAAAATAATGATTTATATACTGTATTATATAGATTACAAATATAAAAGGAGTAAATGCAACAGCTTCACCACCAATCCCTAAATTTGATAGAATCAAATATCGTTTCCCTAATACTAAACAAGGTAAGAATATTTTTAATAACATCTCTATCAACGGTATATAAATTATTTTATTATTTACTGTAATTTTTATATTTATAAAATTAAACTAAATATTAATTAATTATTTTATTAAAGATTCCTCGATTTTAACTTTAAATACAACAAAACAATCATGTCTTAATTTAATTACACTTCATTTAAAAAAAAATCTCTGTATAGGTCAAATATTCAGGTTACTAAAGGAATGACCTTTTAAGATCTTATATCATTTATATTTCCTTCTGGGGGACCAGAAGGAAAATGATTTATTGCTAAGTTATCGCTTGAATTAGATGGAAGGCAATTTTTACCTGATCAAGTATTAGAAGAGGTTTTTTTGAAACACATGCACAAATATGGATTAATATTGAAAAAACTAATATTGATTATAATGAATTATTTGATGATA